CGAAACGATATTTATATGTTGCGACCCCCCCAACATAGAAAAGTTGAAATTGTGCAGCTATATTTGCCCCCTCAGAAGCATCTAGCAACACAATGAGCGCTCCGCTAAGCGGCCTCTACACGGCTTCATGCGCATGGCAACCAAAACTGGCATCCGCAAGCAAACTGCATGGTACCTGACGCGTGTTGCACGAACCCTAGAGAATCTCTAGACCTAACAACCCCCAATATCCAACTGTTAAAAATTTCTATAAAACTTTTGCTCTGTTTGTTGCCTTGTAAGGCTGTTGATCCTGGTTCTAGCTGCTGAAAGCTTACCTGAAGTACGGGTGAACCTTCGGTTGGAGATCAGCAGGGTACCCTGAAAAGTGAAGGGAGTTCGTCTCGGGGCTAAGCACCTCTACCTCGAAATAGTAGCAGCCACTGCTGCATGCGTGCGTCGCAAACACGCTCGCCCACCCCTGAAGGCAAACGCAACAGTACGATGCTCACTCTGAATCCACACATGTGGCTAGTTGTTCATTCTACGCTGTCATTGGTAGCTAGCCAATGCTGCACAAAAGCCAAAACAGAAAAGCTCGGGCGGTGAGGGCGGCGAATATCAACATGAGCAAGTACAAATCCCAGCAGCATATGTAGGTGGTACTTGAATCATGAGTTGCATGAAACAGCGCTGCTTGCAGCAGAGAGAAACAGCAGCAACGTCACAAAGGGGAGCATACAGAACACCAGGAAACTACGCCACCAAACACGAAAACATGCGTTCCTACTGCTGAGAATGAATGCTGCTACCGAAACACAGTTAAACATTTCAGAAGATAGAAAGCTACCTTGTGTCCTTGGCATATAAGCCTATCGGCTGAGAGCTTGATATCCCGGTCGCGGTAACGTTCAGATAACACCACAGAGGGGAAATCGTCTGAAATCAAAAAAAAACATAAATTCAGTTGACGGCAATATGAAGGATTGAATGAATGAAAGGGGAAGGGGGGAACAACAAAAGTGTTGTACTCGCATATATATATATATATATATATATATATATATATATATATATATATATATATATATATATATATATATATATGAGATAGTTACCTCTGGCTAAAGAAAGCGGGGGAAGCTTTGTCTTGCGTACTGACTCCTCCAGCTGCGATCTTTCCTTCGCTCCATGAGGCACAATGTCATGGGTGCCGTGCCGCCCATGCTGATCGTGAGGATGTAAATCTGCTGCCATGTTTGCTGCTTATTAATTCAGATGCTTCTGCTGCAGTACCCTCTTCCTGCTTCTTGCGCCCCCTACAGCAACAACGCCTGCACTGGGGGTTTACGGTGAAGCACCTGTGCGGGGGTACTACTCCCCCTGCGCTGGGTTAGGGCAGCAGCACCTGATGCTGCTGTTGCTGCTGCTGCTGCTGCTACTCTGAGTATTGTCGTTACTTCTTTTCCGTGGCGGTTAAGGGGTCCCCCAGGAACTGCAGTTGCAGGTTCTGCTGCTGCTGCTCCTACTGAGCGGATGCCCTGTGCCAGCTGGGGCCAGTGCTGCTGGCTAATAAGGGTTTCAAACAGCACAGCATAGCTGCTGCTGCTTCTCAGGTTGCTTGTCTCTGCAGCTGCTTCCCCCTGGCCCTCCTTCGTTTGTCTCTCTTCACAGCTGCTACCGCATCCTGTTGATGCTTTATAGCGTGGTAACAGTTGCTGCAGTTGGAGCCTGTTGCTTCTCCCCTCTTTGGTATTTGCTGCTGCTGCTCCTCCTGCTGATCCCTTGGGTTCCAGAAAGGGTCCCCCAACCCCGCGGCAAAGAATGTTATTATTTCAGTGCCTCAGGTGTATAGCGATGCTTCGGCTCCTCGCGGCTGCAACACTGTAATCACTGTAATCAGCAGTCAAACATAAGGACTGACTCTAGCGATATCCAAATCAGTTGTCTCGCCAGAAATTAAAATTCTTTTATTTATTTCAAACAACATTAGTAAACTCAGATGAGGAAACAATGCTAAGAGCGAGAGGCCCCTATGCTTCCGCTTCCAGGGGGGCCCCCCTCCCTCCTCCCCGTCAACTGGGTCTTCTCCGCCGTTGTTGCACTATACTTACAACAATTTCCAGAAATATATTAATTATCCGAATTTTCTTTCATAAATTTTTCTCTTACGCTTCTTCTACTTGTTCCCTGCAGTGAAGGGGGCCCCTCATGTGCCTATGGCGTGAGTAAGCGTTATCGAGAATCTAAACACATACAGAAAATGGAGGAGTGGCGCGGCTATACTGCAGAGAGTCGTCCTGACTCGTCCCCCTCTTCTTTGCTTGATGGAGGGGCCTCCGATGTTCTCTCCTACACCCAGCGGTCCCAGGCTCCCGACTATATGTTCTTGTCACAGCAGCAGCAGCAGCAACAGCAGCAACACCAACAGGGGCTCCAGCAGCAGTTTATGCAGCAGCAATATATCCCCCAACAGATGTACAGCGCGCAGCAGCAGCAACAGCCGCCGCCAGGTTATCCGACGCAACCGGGTGAGTAGGTGATCAACAACAACAAATTCAGTAGTGACGAAGGCCCCGGAACCCTGAACCCGCCTGGCCTCAGCATACTTCATTGTTTAAGATTAAACTGGGGTTGCTGTTGCGCAGGTATAGGGCTGACGGAGCAGCAGCAGCAGCAGGCCCTAGATATGGCCGACTACATGGAGAGGGAACAGCAACGGGAACGCGAGATCGCTCGGAAGTGCGTCTTGGGTATTTTCTTTCTTTTATAGTTACAAATACTGTTACCTCAATTTGCATTTATTTTTATAAGGTCCCTTTAAGAGTTTATAGAAAATGTTTCGGGCGCAAGCCAGACACAGGGAAACGGCTAGATGCTCGCTCTATGCTTCAAGTTCATAAAAGGTTTCGCACAGTACTCAGCAGTATATGAAACTTTTGCATATGCTGCTGAATACTTTGCGAAACCTTCATGAACTTTAAATTCACAGGAATAATAGTTGCAGTGGGCGCACATAAACATATACCTTATATGCACAAATATGCCACAACCGGTGCACAGTGTACGCTCTGCAGCCGTGCAGGCGTCGTATATAGCGTGTGCGCGCACTTGAATCTGTGTAAGGGCTGTATGCAAGCACCGTTAGGGGGGGAGGGGGGTGCATNAGCGTGTGCGCGCACTTGAATCTGTGTAAGGGCTGTATGCAAGCACCGTTAGGGGGGGAGGGGGGTGCATAGTTTATACGGGTTTAGGGTTTAGGGTTTAGGGTTTAGGCTCTGTATATATCTATGTATGTTAGGCGGTTGAATCCACTTGCTGATGGGTGTTATTCAGACAGCAGACGGCCCTGAGACGAGGCCTTCTCTCTGTATCCGAGTTGGAGGACTGGATGGGCGAAGATTGTCCCCAGCTGGATCGACAAACTTTAATACGATTCCCTCCAGAGGTTGCGGAAACGCTGAGGCAGCGGTTGCACAATGCTGCAGCAGCAGCAGCGGCAGCAGCAGCAGAAGGAATCGATCCCCCAGAGCCAGGAGCAGCAGCACTCGGACTCACCATCATCCCAAGACCAGATTACAACTACAGGGCGTTTGACGTCAAGGTCGGCGTGTTGCGTTCGCTTCCACAGCCAGCCAACCAGCTACCTAGAATCAGCTAGCTAGCCGATCAGCTAGCTGGCTAGTCAGCTAGCTAGCGTTTTTCGGCGCATCATTGGGGTTGACGAGCTTGTGTATTTGCATGACACCACAGGTTTCTGGGTATCGTGGTCGGCTTCGAGGCATCTTGGTCGAGTTGCCAACTTTGATTGAAACGTACAAGACGGTGGACTCGGACATTCTATTCAAGTCAGGTGTGTCAGAATGCAGGAGCTATCATATACTCTTGCATACCTAGCGGTGGGCCTGTCCGCTGATTCTGCTCTTGCTGGCTCGCTTTTCTGTGGGTTTTAAGAGTTACACGGAAGTCGCATCTGAGACGAATTTGGGTTAGGGCTTTTGCTCTGGTGCTGTTCTATGCCTTCATGATGCAACATGCTCAAGCACTCGTTTCACTATATCTCTCTACTGGCTGATCCAGCTACCCTGCGGTGATGTTCTTCTTAGCGAACCAAGGTTGTCTTACTTATTTCAGTTAGAGGCCTCCTCGCTTAATTTAGTTCAGTTTTCGTAATGCTGCATTGTTCAGCATTCGCTTGCCATACGCGTAACTCTCGTGTACCCGGCGCATATTCTCTTTTGTTCGTCTTCGTTGATCAGGTGATATTTGTCAGATGTTGTACGTTTTCGATCCGCAAGTAAATAATCTGGATCTAGGAAACCTGTGCGACAAGCAGCAGTGGGAATGGCGGGCTGGGCTAACGCCACCCACTCACCGCATCCGCAGCCGGAAGTTTAAAAACATAGATCTCTTTGATCGTGAAGAGATAAGGGACGCGGAGCTCGAAGTCCTTCAGGCAAGCATCCATACTAGTAGAACTCGCAAATCTGTTGTCTGTTTCACCAGGTAATGCCTGATATCTGCACACAATGAGTTGCGGACAAACGTCTGTGCGGCGCTGCTTTCCATGTGAGGGGAGGCAGCGCGAGCTCTTTTGCGTTAGGGTGTTTCTGTTGCTCGTGTTGCCGTATATGCCCCTTTCTACTGATATACTTCTATCATGCAACTAGGTTTGCTGCTTGTATGGCCCCTTGCTCAGTTGCTGCACGGTCTTCGACGAGATACATATGAGATCGAAGTCCACACGGAACTCGACATGTTGGAAGCTCGCAAAAAAGAACAAGAGCAGCAAACGGCGCAGCAGCAAGGCAGCACAGCCAGTCCTGATGCTCCACGAGTGGAACGCGTGGTGCTGACGACGGAGGATGTAACCGAGCTGCTTAACATGATTGAGGAAGACGATGACTATCTCTCTGACGCTTCAGACATATTGTTCTCGATCCAGTCCGACAATGTCTCGCTTCCTGGAGCAGGTATGCCACAAGTGCCTCATTTAGGTTGTGCCTGTGTTGTTGCCGGGAGTTCTCGTTCAAGTGGAGNGCAGGTATGCCACAAGTGCCTCATTTAGGTTGTGCCTGTGTTGTTGCCGGGAGTTCTCGTTCAAGTGGAGATGCAGCTCATACGCTTCTTTTTTTTTGCTTAATGCACTCGCGCAGATCCGAATTCACGGTCTAGGCGGGGGAAGGGTGGGGGACCTGGAGGCCCCTCGAGGTTTTCTTCAGTTGGGAACGGAGGCCAACAGGAAACCGATTCTCCTCAAACAGGCATGATGACTCCCAATTCTCAGCTGCAGATGCAGATGAGCCAACAGCAGCATTTGCAGCAGCAGTTTCTGTCGCAGCAGCAGGGTCAGCAGCTGCTGCACGGCATGCCGGAAGGCTTAACCCTTGGTGGTGAAGTTGATGACGCAGAGGAACGCGAGCGCTTGCGACTTCGCAAGGAAAGAAGGAAACAGAAGAAGGATAGGAAGAGAGCAAGGAGGGAGCAAAAACTACAGCAGCAGCAACAGCAACAACAAGCAGCCATGGGACAAGGCCTACCTAGCGACCAGATGGTGCCCGATGGCGCCATGCAGTCAGCCATACCTTTGCAAACAGACCCTGAGATGGCCGCCTTAGGGGAGGGTTCTGCAGTTGGCGGGAATGACGACGGTAACTTGGATGGTATGAGTTCGGTGGGTAGCGCAGATGGTCAATGAAGATCATCAACTCAGAAATGCATATTATGCTGGATTTTTCGGTACTCTTCCGCCAAAGCGGACTGTCTCGGCACGAGGCACGCACAGGCAGCAAGCTGCTTTTGAAACTATGACTGAGCGAAAAACTCAGGCTGTGAATATTATGCACATTTAGTGACGGTGCATTTACTTGAGCTCCTTTATTGAACAGATGTGCTCTGGAATATATGACATTTCAGTGNTTAGTGACGGTGCATTTACTTGAGCTCCTTTATTGAACAGATGTGCTCTGGAATATATGACATTTCAGTGCGCTAACAGAAGACGCATTCATCTGTAGGCTTGGCGACTGTCACTGCTAAGCAGCGAAAATTTTACGTGTAGTTTTACACGAGCTAAAAATAGTTAAACGGAGAAAACGAATTGCTGGGATTCTTTCCTCGCAAGAGAAGCAGCACGCACCTCTCCCATACAAGCGTAAAGGCGTCTGCATAAACATTTCCTTGCCTTCTAGTCTCCAAATAATTGCAGTAAAGCCTCATTGAATCCGGTTTACTTCATAAACTCCTTCTCATGCCTCGGTGGCCCGAGCGGATTCTACAGAACGCAGCAGGACAAAAAAATAACGTCGAAACTCGACTAGCTACCT